AAAAATACCAATTAAGGAATCATTTATAGATTCAAATCCAAACTCTCCCAACTGACAACATGAATTATATGGCAAACAGGAAGAAGAATTACTGATGAGATTTTGGGAATGAGTTAAGAGTTCTAGCCAGAAAAGGAAATGTCAATGGGTTTATTAAAATATGCATTTTTTCAAAGATTATCATGCTAATTTTTGTAATGTATATGGGATTAATGAAATGGACAAGTTGCTCAGAATTTTGTTTGGGAAGGAATACCTTTGATTACTGAATGAGTTATTACTGTTGAAGTTTGAAACAAGGCATAACAAGGCCTCAAATATATAGGAGGAGGTTGTTAATTGTTATAGTATGCTTAATAGTAAAGTGTAGAGCATTTTATGGTGATTTTGCCTGCCTGCAAAAAGATTGCTTTCATATAGGGCCATTTAAAGTCATTAATACTTTTGCTGTAACATGTAACATACATCTAGGGTACTAATTGGCAGATAAGCCTGAGTGAAACTTTTAATATAGACATGGTGATTTTTCCAGAAAACAGTAGTGGCTGTATTGGACCAGATGATAAACCCACACTGGCCATTCCTTCCAAAACGTAAAGAAAAGTATGCAAGTGAAGAAGAAGAAAGAGGAATTGAAGGGGCTTGGAGAACAATCACTGAAAATCCACTGGAGTATTATTTCTATTATCATATATTGGATGGGGATGAAGGAGGAAGGCCTCCAATGATTGTGACTTCAGAGGGGCATAACAAGCAGACAAATAATGAAAATTTTAACTGCAGGGACAAGTCTTGTCTTCATGCTATTGCAAAAAGTGACAATAAGGTAAAATTATTATTGTCCATAAAAGAGGTGATTTCAATAGTTAAAACATGCAGTCTAAGTTTGCCTTTAATTAGGTGGCACTTTTTCTGTTAATTGTTTTGTAACATACAACCATCTGGCAATAAATGTTGGAAAAATTGACTACAGGAATTTTTTTTCTGACCAGTCAATGGGACCATGTATGTTCCAGAAGCCAGATTATTTTCAACTTAATGTGGTACTGAGGCTACATTTAAAATTCCAAAACTGGCTTCATTTTGAGATTCCAAAGAGTGTATAACCTACTCTGTCAAACATTCTTTAAATGTTCTTACGGGTAGAGTGCAGTTGACTCTGCTTTAATCCTGCTTTAGTGGGACCTCATGTTCCTTTTCCCATCCCTTGACAATCTGTTTGAACGTGTGTAATCTATTAAACTAAGAGGCTTTTAATTATGACTCAAATGATAATTATTCTTGTGCTGACCTTAATAGCAGCTATTTGCATACAGTACATTGTGATTTTGCATAAGATTAGCAGCTAGGTAATGCTGAAATCTTCTTAAAATGATGGCAGTGATCTTTATCAAATTCTAAGAACATTTGAAGACAATTTTTTGGAAAGTGTAGCAGCTGCTCTCTGAACTCTCAAAGTGTAGTTATTGCAGCAATTGTTATGTATACTATACTATACTCTGTCCTGGCAGAAATGACAATTTTATTACACCTGGAGCATGCTTTTCCTATAGTGGAGAAATTGTGCAAATGATTATGTTTGAGTACTTCCATTTGCAGGAAGCTTTACAGCACCCAGTGGTCAGAATGTTAGTTACAGCAAAATGGAAGAGTTATGGACACTGGTTTCTGAGGTAAAGTCAATATCAGTTAAATATAATATGTACATGTGTATAACTTGTTTAGCAGAGTCACGCCAACAGCAATCTTTTCCAAGCTGACGAACCTCGGTTCTTAGATAATGGCGTAATATGTTATCTTAGTCTCCATCCAGTCGGTAATGGAATTCATACATAACGGACCAAATAGCGCCGTTTGTTAACGGCTTAAACTGTTACAGTATCAAACAATTAAATTAATTCCCTGAATCATGAAAAAAATAGACTTACATGCTGAAACTTTTTAATTTTTTCTTGGCCAATTTTTCTTCAACAGCCTTCAAGCAGTACTCTATGTCATCTTCTTACTACTCTTGTCTTATTCTTTGCTGCAAGCTTCAACAAAAGTAGACCCTAACCGTTACAGCAGTGCAGCAGACTCATTGCGGGGATTTTGTGAGGTTACCACTCTTTTGATAGTTGCCTGTTATATCTCTGAAGAAATCAATCAAATGAAGACGTAAGTAGTCACTCTTACTGCTAATGACGGTCAAGTCAAATTATATTAACGCCTGAACAAGAAATCTTGTGAAGGGGGAGTATAATTACTGTTCTGCTCAGAAGACCACGAACACCAGAAATATGTTTAACTGTTTATGGCTAATCACAGTGGAAATCTGGACGCGCGAGCAAACCAAAAATTAATCAGCGTTAGCTGTGTTTAAATTTTTCTCGCTACTTATTTTCTTCAACGGATTGACAAGAGATTCGTCGCAATATCAGTAAATTCAATAATTTTCCAAGTCTTAATCACAATAGTCCTGTGAGAGTGTTTTGAAAATCAAGATGTGATCGTATACAGGTCAGTTTTCCCTTTGCCGTGTCTTCCTAGTTGTCACAATACCTTCAACCTGGTTACCTGTGCCTCTCAAGTATAGTCACCTTGCCCCTAACTTAATGCGCGAATGCACGTCGATCAAAATGAATGTCGGTCACATCATCCCCTTGTCACGCTGTGGGGGTTACTTTGTTACCAAGCTAGGACCTTGCGTACCCAGTCAGTTGAGCTTTTTCGTACCCTTATTGATAAATTTTGTTTTCCATGATGATGTGGCTCGTTTCTCATTTTAAAAGCAATATTACCTGCGTAATGTACGTTTTGTTTACGAGACGTCCAGTTAGCTGTTACTGTAAAGAAAGTCACAAGTATAGACTGGTCTTTTAAGAATATCACACTCACTATGCAGCCAATAGTTTAGTTGTTTTTGTAAGGAAGTCACAAGTATACACAACAGAATTTTACTTGAATCTTAATTGCTTGACTGAGGAGGGATCGTTTTTCGATTTCAATGACTACCTTTGTAATACTATGTTTAACAAACATTGTAGATGAAGCACTCAATGTATTTTGGTTTTCATTTGTATCTTGGAACCCCACAAGACTCAAGTTTTAACAAGAACAAGAGAAAAAGACTGTTGAAATGAACCTTGAGAAAAATCTCTGATTTTGTCTGTCTGAACTCTTCCTGCAGAGAGGGGCTCTCATACTTCTCAGAGTGGATGACTCTGTTTGATTGGTTAGGTCTGCTGTTGATCGTGTGTATAATACCCTTACGGTACACTGGTAGTAAAGCTCAGTGGGTTCTGGCATCGTTGGCTTTCTTGTTCAACTTCTTGAGACTATTTAAATTTTCCTGCCTGACAAGGTAACCAGTAACCAAAATTAATTGTAATGGATAGATTTTTAAGGGCGTAAAAATCCAAATCAGCTGCCTCTTCACTGTTTTCCTTGCTCGGTGCTTGACGGTGGTAGCAGTTCTTTTTTTGTGATGTCAGCTTTTAAATTTTTCATTATTGATATGTAACATTTTTTTCCCAATAATAGCTGGTGGTAAAAGGAGAAACTCCAAAAGATAAATAAACTTCACAACTTGTAGACCGCAATTGGTGTGGTAGAATGCCAAAAAAAAATATTGATAATGATCATTTGATTTATCAACGATTTTCCAATCTTCAACAATTGTGAAGAAACAAGTTTATAAAAGGCTACTATCATTAAGTACAATTTAATTGTATAGGTAGTTAGGGTCTTCAAATGAGTTAACAAGCTCCTCATCTGTTTTAGGACTACAGGATTATACACAAACACTTTGGCTAAGATCATTCAACAAGATTTGACACGCTTCATGGCGGTTTTTTCTGTGATCTTTCTTCCCTACTGTACTTCCTTGTTTCTATCACTCCGTTCCTCCTCAGTTAAAACCCACGAATTAAGGTGTGTTTTCGTGTTTCATTTTTTTCCCTTTTCAATGAGGCTTTCTGAACAAAAAATGTGTAAATGTACAATAGCTTTTGAGATCTCAGGTCCCGCGGAGAAATTCTTATTTGCCCAGTTTAACAGTTTTTGTCGTGGTTATATTCAATGTGAAGAAAAGTATGAAAAAGTTTCTTTTTAAATGGTGAAACTTTAATGTGATACTGTAATCTAACCTAACAACGTAACCAAGCAGCAATTGATAAATCCTATTTTGAAAACCAACTGAACACAACTTTTCGCACCGATACTGTAGTCTGACTTTGGCTTTCCAAGCGTTTAACATTATTGTGTCAGTATGCAACCAACTGAAATTGTTTACTTTCCACATCTAGCGATTTTGAAGATATTTTGTGGAGCGGTTTGCGCACTTTGTCTGAACAGCGACCAATTGTGGACGATTACTCAACCTTCAAGTAAGTGCTTTTGACCCAAGTGTGCGCCTACTACGTGAGTTGAAGTATGTTAGTCAACGTTATGTAACGCTATTGTACACATTTGGATCGGTCCCTTGACTACCGCATTTGTTGAACTGTAACCGTCACTACTCATAGATCTCTCCTTCTTACAGCTGGCTCTCAATACTGTTAATGATGGCGTACATGGGGACAGTGATTGTGATTCTTCTCAACATACTCATTGCACAGATGAGCACGACCTACATTCAGGCCAAGAAAGTCGCCCGTCTGGAGTATGATGTGGATCGTATTTTACAGCTCACTCGTATGGAGAGATTTCCTTTTCTGGTATGTAGGCGGGCCAGTGTACGTAATAGTGCTTTATACTGCGCTTGGACGCGATACGCATGTGCAAAACTGTGCTGTTAGTTTGTTAGATAACTGCCAGATTATAGGGATTTTTTCATTTTCCATTTTCACTCTTTTCGTATACTTGTAATAGGGCCCTTTTTGTCACTTTGCTTTGTGAGCTGTTGTTATTACAAAGTTATTTGTCGTATGATGGATGGATGAATTAGTTTATCCATTAATTTTTTGATTGATCGATCGATTTATAGTTCTAATGATTCATTGCTAAGTCGATATGACTTGCATTATTTTTCCAGCATTTGCGCATGAAATATTACAAAGAGGGCGGTTGGATCAGTGAAAAGAAACTTGCTGAAGGTGTGAAGCTGGAAGAATTAACTACCTTTGAAAAAAATACCTCGTTTGAATGGCTTTAGCCAGGGAAACGATGAAAACTAAGGTTTTTCATTTGCTGAAACATTATCATGTCAATTCTAATAGTTTGGTTTTAGAGGTCTTTGTTTGTTGCTATGGCAACTGGTCTATTGGTTTTTTTTGTAGAGCTTCTAGAATTCCGTGAAGATCGCAATCCCTGGGAATCTGTAGAAGCGAAGCTAAATGCGATCAGGTAAATTCTTTCATATCCTGCTATTCGGCTTTAAATCACAGTACATATTTATGCTAACCATTAGGAGTCCTCTATTCCATCTTCTGCTTGGGTTTTTTCCCTATTGCCATCAATTTTTAAAATTTCTTCTTGCAGGAATATGATGAGAAAATTGGTGAAACAGAAGAGGCTTGGTAGAGAATGACCATGGAAAGCTACAAGGAAAGTATTTTCGCCCAGTTTTTAAATTGGACGGTTCATCCTCTACAGTTCGTTTTAATCGCTCTTTGACTTGAAATTTATGGTCGTGAGTCTGTGGCAATATTTTTAATGGCGCTTCATACACTGTAAACCAAACATGTTTTGTCGTGCGAAGTAGCGTCACTAAGAACCATTTGAAACAATCTAGAGGAGAGCTCATAGGAGGTGTAAAGTTCATATACCTGCTAAGGCGCTAACAGCAGGAAAGCGCGTGTGAGCAAGTTAATTGGTTGTAAATAAAATGCAGTTATTACATCAGCAACTGTAGCAACAAGCAAAATGAAAACAATGGCCACTACAATAACAACTGTCAGGTGCAGCGAAGTAAAACAAGTCATGATCACTGTCAACAATTGATGGGCCATTTTTGAAAAAACCTCTATTATAAAACGTGGGTTAATTAGTGCAAATATATGAAAAGGTGAGGTTTTTACTCTGATACAAATATACTTCATTTTCACAAGAGTGGTATAGCACTTAGCCTCATTTTGAAAGTGAGGGTTTGAAAAGGTGAAATGGTCTATTTAAGAACGTTTGGGTGGGTCACGTTACGTTGGCGTACGCATCTTGACATGTACACCTCATTCGTATATACACCTTATTCAAAAATCACATGAAGATATTTTGCGAATTGCATTGCATTTTTCGAGCTCTGTAGGAGCGAGGAAAAATACTAGCATCGACTATTATTTCCCTACCGAAGGATAGATATAATGAATATAATTCTCTAAAAAAGATCATAGGTGCCAGTACACATTATGGTCCACAACAAACAACTAAGATTTTTCATCTCCCAAGAGAGGAAACACTTACTAATTTCTCCGTTGGCCTACCTGTTAGTCAATAATGGTATTAACTATAACCACCACTTTAGAGACAAACTTGCGTGTGAATTTGTTCTAAGAATGATTCATAACAATACACAGGTGATTTAGGCATTGAGCGCATGATGGGGAGACTTCTTATTTTTGGTACAAATATTTCGTCTGAGTCATCTCCTTGGCTGCGCTCTGTACACAGCCAACTGGCCTGCCTCTTGCCAGTTAAGATTTTTAAGAGCGACGGTCAGGAAATATCGACCAAAAT